ATGTGTTTTGAAAATGGCCGCAGACTGTCACGTGCTCAACCCATCAGTACCTTCAGATGCCATGACAGTAATAGCCAATAATGTCAAAATATCATTTCCAGAGCGATTTAACAGATGATAACTGCTGCCCGACCCACAGGTCCATTTGCGGGTCCCGCGGGTTACGGGTCGACCCGCGCATCACTACTCAGCTCAGTCTATAAGGCTGTACACAGCAGTAAGGCTATAGACATTATATTCTATTCAGGCCGGCAGAACCAGCAGCGCATCGGCTCTACAGTGCACGGCACTGCTGATTAACCATTTTATTGCAGCACAGAGTGTCTGCCAGCAACCAATTACTTGCAGAGGCTTCCTACAACTTGTTTAAACGGTTCCGATTTAATCAGAAGACAAATTAAACAGGATGACTAGCCAATGTGAAAATCAAAAGAAAGCACAGAATAATGTACTGAAGGAGACTGTTGTGCCATCACATTTTTTTGTGGTTTGAGATCAAAGATCCGGTCGCTGCTGTTCAAAACTCTGCAATACAGTTAGGTCCGAAAAACCTCGAAGTCCGACACCGCCCCCTATTTTCAAGGCCTGGGAAAGTCATGGAATTAGGAGAAAATATCCTTAAATGGTTTGAAAAAGTTGCAGATTTTTGTTTTGTATGATGAAATTGTTACAGTAGTCCTCCATGGATAGCGTCTATATGATGTAACATAACGGCAAATTTATACTCTGAAGCTGTACACATAACTTAGCCCTAATATGCGTCAATTTGTGACGTTTGTTTACTATTACGTACATTTCCTTGCTTTCTCCCAGTGTTTCATCTCTCCCTTTGTGTATTCCAGATAGCTGAAATTACAGTTCGTTTACAGGACAAAATTTGTCCAAATTATGTGTAATGTGCCAAGTTGATTTCTGTCACTTTGCAGAACCTGACATGGTCATGTAAGTGTTTGTGTTTCTCACCAAAAGAAGACTGATGTGAGAGAAGATCAGAAAAAATCATTTTGAACACCTGCTGTCACAGATTATTAGGATGCTTGCAGGAAGCTGTGAACAGCAGTTCATCAGTGACATATTAGCATATTTTTATGGTGAAAATTGGTTGCAAACAGTTGTTTATTTTCACATCCAGCAGCTACACAGCAGTGAGAATGAACCTTAAAAGCAAAGCTGTGGGCTGGAAACCACAACAAGGAGCTGAAGAAACTGAAATTCTGCAAATTGTGGTGATATTTGGTGATATCACACAAAATAATCATCGTTACCATTAAACCAAATGTAGCTTCAGTGCTGCAAAGTTCTTCAAGAGATACCTTGCTGATATTTGCCTCACAGCAGAGACACAGATCTTGTTGAAAATCGGCAAAGTATGCTTTTAACTCCTCTATCAGTATTCATTCCCATGTCTTTGTATCTTCTTTACCTCCATTTTCTTCCCTCTGTTCATTCAAGGCTAAATATCTGTTTTGAAGATCATTGCGATTTATTTTATTTCCTCGTGATGATGGCCTAACCCGTACAAAGGGGAAACCTTTCTTAAACGTGACATCTGTTGACGGAGCACGCAGTCACATCTGTGACAGTGTGTCACATTGCTTTTTGTTGGTTTGCAGTGAAAAATGTCCTCACCTGACCAGGTAATGTGTTTAAGTTTAGTAATATCTTTGTTGAAGAGTTGTAACATTAAAAACAGATGTGAGCCTCAACAAACTCCAACATCTGTCAATAGCAGTTTGGAGAGTTTGTCTTTGTGCCACCAGAAAATACATTATGTGTCACTTTTGTGTAAAGGAACACTCCGTCTTTTGAGTATTAAACACTTTCCTGTAGTTGTGAAAGGTGGCTCTGAAAATAGCAGGAATAGGAGTCCGGTTTGATTCACAGCAGGTGTGATTGCTTTAAATGCAGTCACACCAAGAAAAAACATGTTCAGTACTGCAACTAACAATTCCTGAGAACAGTTCACCACCCTAAGAATTTTCCTGTTTTTTCTTTAAAATGACCTAAATGATAAATGAAATTAGAAAAGCTTCAGTTTAATATTCTGTCAATTGAATTTTAAAATGTTTCCAAATACACTCTCACACTACAAGTGTGAGAGTGTATTTGTTTTTAATTGACCGAACAATTAATTGGGAAAATCATTAGCAGATTAATTAATCATTGGTATAAATAATTGTTAACTACAGCCATAATCCACTTCTCTCCTGCTGATCTACATTTATTTTCAAAAGTGTTAATACATAATTTATATTTTGATGTTATGTGCGTGGAGTATTCCTGTAAACAATAAGCTAAATTGATCACAGAGCATCATAAATTAAGATTTAAAGTGAAAGTTGCCTCCAGGTTTAAAACATTTAGAGGTTTAGAATTGATTTATGTGTGTGTTTTACGTTGACCCTGGTGTCGTCCAGTAGTAGGACCTTCCCCTCTCTCTCATGTCTCCAGTGGACGCCAGTGTTATTTTAGCTCCATTGATTGTGGGTAATAAATAGCTGGAGAGCGAAGTGCTGCTGGTAAAAGCTGAGAGGGGGGATCCCCCCGGGACGAAGCTAAAGCAGGCATCGGGTCCCTAACTGAGGCCTACAGCAGAGAGGGGGAGAGATTGAATAAATGTCAATAGATGTAAAAGCTACGGAAATAGATTCACTTATCAGACACCTTGATTTTCATGTCATGCTTGAGATATTTTTAGGTTGTGGTAAAGATTTTCCTAAGTGTCCATTAATGGACTCACGACTGATTGATCTTTGGGCTCAAAGTCATCAAACTCTCCAGCTGCACAAGATCCTAACACCAAGGAAGAAAAGTCATTGCAGTGAAGATAACTAGCTTCATATCCAGGTCTGAGGTCAGTTATATGTGTACTAGGGTTGGGCTAAAAAATCAAACCAAAGACACACACAGCTCACCGTGGGAGGGCAGGTGCTGAGTCGATAGTCGTAGATGAAAGAAGGGTCATAGTAGGGTTGGGCTGACGATCTTTTCTCCATAATGATCGATGCCAATATTTATCAGGATATGTAATTTGATAGTGCTGCCGGTTTGAGGAGTAATTTGATAATGACTGAAGCCTGAAGAAAACAAAGGGTTCACTAATTAAAATTTAAAGCATTGTTTATTGTACATGATATAGAATAACATTAAGATTAACGGTGCAAACATGACTTGGTTTACACTACTACGACTTGGTTTGTGATAAAATAATAAGAATAGCATCTTAAAATGAACACTGAACCTTGAAAACACGCTAATCAAAACAATACAAGTTGGCTTGCCTTGAAACATATCGAAGTAATGGCGTGGTCGCTGGGATGGCACCTTTTCAGGTGATTGAACTGGCCATCATCCAGAATTCACAGAACCTTAGTTACATCTGTAACTCTCCATTTGTTGTGTTTTTCACCTTGGCTGGCACCAAATGACGGCATTTTTGACGGCATTTTTCTTCGGCATTGCTTTTGAGATAACTAAACTATAACTAAACATATTTTTTTTTCCTTTTTTTGTTTGTTTGTTTGTTTGGACAACAGCCAGTTTCAGCACTTTACCATAACGAACTCTATACCCAAAACAAATCGAGTGTGTATTAAGTGGAGCCAGCATGCTGCTGCGGGCAAATCAGCCTGAAGACGCCACATTTCTGCAAGTTTGTGTTCTGCTTGTTCAACATGCGTTTGACAAATTGATCATACTGTCTCCCTTTTGTTGCACCTACGGATAATGATCACTGTCATTGCTGACTCCAGTAAAATCTATCCTAAAGACTGTTTTTTCATTGGCCAAAATTGGAATTAAACTGTTAGATTATGCCACGGGGCCCAAAAAGAGTTTTTCCATGGACTTACATTGGGAAGGAGACACTTATTAATCAGTGGATACATTTTTTGAGTGTCAAGAGCCCTGCAAAATGACCTCTTTTACTTCCGGGATTTAATCCATTTGGTCCGAACATTTCATAAGTCTAAAAGAGCTGCAAGATTAAATCATTTTATCCCCATTCAAGTTAGCAGAGTTCTAAAATGGAATTTCGCTGCTTGGCTGTACTCAGCTGTCATAAGTCTCTAGTGCACTTGTTCTATGGGGCAAATAATACAGATGATCCAGGTAATTTCAGACCACAGAAATAGAGCAACTTTGGCTTTATGCATAACTGAGCAACTTTCATAGGAATGAACAAGGCCTCGCCTAAAATGCTGTATCCATGTCGCTTAACTCATCCATGGCAGAGGCAGAGAAAGAGGCGGCAGACTGACTGGCTGTTGTTGCGTTTATTTCAACTTTATGATCGACTGTTAGATCAATTCATAACGAGTAAAAATGTCCCAAGTTTATCATCGTTATAGACACAGAATTAATTGCAAATCCCTATTGAGGTTGTTTTATCGCCCAGTCCTACTTGACCATGATGTTTGTGTAACCTCTGAAAATCAAAGATTATTGGCTGCCGGCTGGAGGCGTAACGGCTGATGGTTGGTTGGCTATGAGTCTCAGGCTGAGGGATTTAGTGACCACACATCTCATAGCATTTTCGACATGAACCAATTAAACATTTATCCTCTAAATAAAAAAAAAGTAATCTGCCACCTTTAATTAACCATTATTTGTTTAGTCTATAAATGTCTGTAAATACTGAAACTCACCTGTTTACAGTTTTTCTTAAACCCAGGTTGATGTCTTTAAAATGTCTTGTGTTGTTTGACCAACTTTTAAAATACCTAAATATCCATTTTATTATCACGAGAGAAAGAAAAGGTGCAAATCTTCATATTTGAGAATCTGGAATAAGTATTGTTGTGTTTATTGATCAGTTGAATATCAAAATAGTGGCCTTCTGATGTTCTGTTGATCAGCTGATAGATGAATTGAATAATCGTAGTCATGCTCTGGCAGTGTTAAAAGTGATAGTAAATGCTCAGAGTACAGTAGTCTGTGTGTGTTAATAATATACAGTATAATGGCAGATGAGAATAAAGCTGTTCGCTGTGTGTTTGTAGGTGAGTTCGTGGACGGTGGAGGAGCTGCGGCTACGTCTGGCCTCTCTGGACCCTCAGATGGAGCAGGAGATCGAGGAGATCCGTCAGCGCTACCAGACCAAAAGGCAGCCCATCCTCGACGCCATCGAGGCCAAAAAACGACGGCAGCAGAACTTCTGAGAAGGAACTGCCGAGTTGTCACGGCAACAACTGGATGTTTTATCTCTTTATGTTCTCTGCAGCAGTTTGGTGAAATGTCACGAAGACATTTTGAAAACTGCACGAAGACTTCTGATGATGATGATGACTGCTGAAGAAGAAGACCTTCCAAAGAGCTGATTGACAGAATATTAATGACATTCATTTGATTTAAGACCCACGTTCTCTTTTTCTGCCCGTTTGAGAGTCTTCAAGGACATTTTTGTGTCTCTGAATTAACAGTTGAGGAAATGACAAAGTTTAATTTTGGCGCCATCAGCAGCTCATCTGAACCTGTGAGTTTCTTTCTGTTTATTTCAGGCATGTTACACAGTCGTCTCAAACTGCAGAGACGATTGTTAAAACCAGATCTCTTTAATTTTGTTTTACCTAATGGTACAATATCATTTAAACTGCTGACTGCTCGTCTTCGGTACTCGTGTTTCCTGTCACTGTTGCTGCTGGACTCTTAAGTGTTCCTACTCTGGATTGAGAGAGTTTCGACAAATCTGTAGTCTAGAACTGAATCGTTCACTTGTCTGGAAAAGTTTGTAAAATGCACAAAAGCTATTGAGGTTCTAGGTACTGACAACCACTATTGTAAAAAGTCAGAGTTTCAAATTCCCGTCCAAAACTATTTGAAAAGCGAAAAATGAAAACAAACCCTGTGATTACTGTCAGTCAGGAAAACACAGGAAAACACCTCCATCATTTAACCTGTGAAGATGCTAAACATCCAGGAGGTTTCTCAGTTTAAACTTTAAACTCTTTCTCTTTCAAACTTGATTATGAAAACTAAATTCTGTAATTCGGTACATGCTCCAAGGGTTTTACTTTTTACACACAGCGTTGAATATACTGTCAGTCATTTGTCATTATTTATCATGTTTTAGTTCTGCAGATACGTCTCAAAATAGTTATTAGACCACTGCTCTTGTCTTCTGTTGCCTACAAAGGAAGTGAAATTTAAATTTTCCTCCAAACAGCAGAAATAATTGAGTGAAGACACAAGAAAAAATGTGCTTTTCTGATATAGGCTGGTCTCAGCTAATGTAAACATCATCTGAGTCAGAAGTTACACTTAATACTCAGTGATGATGGATTTCCAAACAATGTTTATTTTTCTCAGGCAGCTGATGAAGATTAAAACCATAGAAATAGAATGAGAGCAGAATGGACAATGAACTGTTTGTCGTGGTCATTTTACTAAATTCAAAAGAAAATGGCCACTGCTGTTAGTTGTTATGACCTCACGCATCAGTGGGGCCATGAAGCGGTCACACTCTCTACTTGGACATACTAATGAATAGAATTTGATTATTTCCCAGTAGAAATACAACCAGTTAAGTCCAGCAATCCTCAGTTCCAGTGCAGCGAGGCAGCAGAGACAAAGCACAAAGACACCTCTCCAGTCCTCAACTCCTCTGCTGGTTTGGACGTTACTGCAAAACCTCATCTCAGTGAGTTCGTGACTTGCCGCCAGTCGGTTTGTTTGTACGGAATTTAGCCTGCTACAACGGTTGCAATGGCAACAGCACACAAAAACATGGCCGCGGTTCAATAATTTACTGTCTCTGTTATATGGCAGCTGATCCCGTCCTCTGCTCGGAGGGTAAGGAGCTCCTGAATCTCATTGTTTCCCAATCTGGGGACATTTACGGCCATTGTTCTTTGAGTTAGCCTCTAACTGCTAATAGCTACCTTTTAACATCTCTCATGGCAGGTCGCACACGTTCTGGCTTAAGGGAAGGGACCACTCTGTCTCCCCGTGACCGCTGCGATTGTACCTTATATACACCAGGGTGAGGCAGCCTTGACCAGGCACTGTAAAAGGGCCCACAGTGTTTGACACATTAATAATCACTTACGTATACAGCTTCATTATAGTGTGCTATAAACCATCTATGAAACCATTAAAGCGAAGTTTTACCTTTATTTTTTACACATTCCTCTAATCTTTAGTTTATTTTCTAAATAACTGGATACTGTTACCTCTTCAAGTCTCCGCATTTTCACTCTTTGGTTGCCTTGGTCATCAGCTTATAGTTGTTTCATTTATCATGAGCCAAAACAGTCTGGTAACGACTGTCAGAACAGACACACCTGCATTTGAATATGTCACGTATTCGTCTCAAGCTGGAGTTTTAACTTTCTAATAGTTGAAAAGTTATGAAACTTAAAGGGAATTTAATCAGATGGAAACTTGATTATGTTTGACCTCCAGTGTCCTTAGTGTTTAAGTTTTTATTTTTGTGTCCATCATCTATTTTTCCTCCTCAGTAAGCTAAAAACAAAGACCTGGGTTGACAGATTTATGGAATCGATTCAACAAAGCTTTTATTTCTTGGATTTATTAGTTTGATTTGGCACTGGACGAGTTTGCCCCCCCCCAAAAAAAGTATCAGGGAGCAGCAGCGACTGAAGCTGGCGTCGACCCAGGTCTGATTCACCTTCACTTCTGACATTCCTCAGAGCAAGTCCGCCGCTCATTTTTCTACATCCAGCACAAAAACATTTATATTTTTCTACGTAGGTTTAGTGATGTCAAGTTCAGATAGAAGACGAGTTGTAGTTTTGATCACAGAAATGAAAACCAGCTTCTCAGGTCATAAAGCTCCTCAGGGGTGTAAAAATAATGACGAGAAATGACTGTAGATAGTTTAGAGATCCTTCACACAAAGAGTCTGTGTATATATGAGCACCACTAGGCTGTATTTGTATATTGTGATTACATTTGAACAGTTGAAGGTTTTAAGCCTCAAAACAAGACGCCTGTCATTAAGTTATATTTAAATATTAAGCAGTTATCAACGAGTTCAAATGAGCGTCTGATGTTTTGGGGCTTCAGCTGAAAGCAAAATGCTGTTTAAACCTCCAGACTTTAATCTTTGTGTGCAGGAGTCTCGTGTTTCTCTGTACGCAAACGGCTCATGAGCACAATTCATTTTTCATTTTCTCTTCTGTGTTACAAGCAAAACAAAAGGGATTTTTTTGTTGTCTGCCTTATTTTGGATGTTCTGCTGTTATTTTTCTGAACAGTGATCTCATGTATGACACGTTGGGGTGGAAAAAAAGGGAAAATATAAAAAAATAATGCAGCTTGATTGTTTTAAAGTAAGATGCTGTTTGGTGCTGTCACACTGCTGGAAAAAATGTGATGCATCAGAAATAAAGTCGTAATCACTGGATATCGAACAGACATTAAACTGTTCTGATGTTTGGGAATCAGTTCTAAAGGGACAGTTCACCCCAAAATCAAATACGCATACTTTCCTTGTCACCTGTAGCGCTATATGTGAATCTAGATATGAATCTAGATTGTTTTTGTGTGAGTTACTGAGTGTTGGAGATATCAACCGCAGAGATGTCTGACTTCTCTTCAGTATTACAGAACTAGATGACACTCAGCTTGTAGTGCTCAAAGTGCCCCCAAAAAAAATACATTTGAAAAACTTAACATCAATGTTTTATAAAGAAATCATGATCCAGTTACTCAAGATAATCCACAGACCTTGTTGTGAGCAGTTTCATGTAGGAACTGTTTTCTTTCAACTGAACCACATCCGACAACCTTATCACCGTTATGGAGTAAGAACAGCAACAATAAATTTTGGTATTGAAAAGAAAATTTGGCATTAAAAAAAAGAAACATCTACACTGAAAAAAAAAAAAAAAACACTGAAAAATAAAACACAAACATTAAAATTTATTTTTGTAATTTTTTGGCATCCTGGTGTATTTTTTAGTGACAGTCTTTTTCTAAATGTCATTTTTTCAGTGACAAAACAGTGACAGAAGAGTGACGTGAAGAGAAATCAGAAGATTGTCATTGAAAAGCACATGATAATGTGAAAAATATCAAAATAAAAATGATTTTTAATGCTTGTCTTTTATTTTTCAGTGGATTTTGTTGTGCTAGTGTTTCCTTTTCAGTGCTGAATTTTATTTTTGATGCCAAAGCTTATAGTTGCTTTTCTAGCTCCGTAATCCTGGTTCTCTTCATGGTCAAGAGGCTCGTACTCATGACAGTGCGAGGTGAAAACATTGATACCGTCCTTTTCGACTGAGCTGTCACGTGAGCCAGCTCAGTGGTGCTAGGTGAGCTAGCAGTTACAGTTGGCAGGTGTAGTCCCATAGACAGAAAATAGTTCCTACATCAAACTGTTCACAACAAGGTCTGTGGATTATCTTGAGTAACCATGTCATGATTTCTGGAAAGAAAAAAAGTGCTTTGAGCATCTCAAGCCGAGTCCCATCTCGTTCCTTTATAACGGAGAGAAAGCAGACATCTCAACAGCCGATATCTCCAACACTCTGTAACTCACAAAACAATCTAGACCAATCAATAGCACCACAGGTAAGAGGAAAAATATGTGTGTTTGATTTTGGGTCTCTTGAACATGAACCACTATTTGTATTTTTTTTCTGCCTTCTTTTATCTAACTGTTAAATGCTTTCTGTGATTGTCTAAACTATTTCATAGAAAACAAACCACTGCAGGTATTTGCAGGTTTGTTTAGACTGAAGGGAACACTGGGACACAAGAACAAAAATTATGACTGATTCTTACTAAAAAAAGAAAACAAAAACAATTATTTACGTACGTCTGCACAGTGAAAACTTAAAATAATATTTGGTTTATATTAAAATGTGATAATTCCAGGTTCTTGTTCTTGGTGCAGGATGTTTCAGTCGCACAAACATTTGATGAGGCTCTAATTTATTTAACGAGTGAATCAGATAAAAGGTCTAAATCCTGCTGAAACATCCTGTTTGGATTCATCTTTTCTCGAGTGTTACCACTGTTCAGACTTCTCAACTGTTTAATTTATTCTTTTTCATAGTTTATCTTCAGCAGCTCTAATGTCACTGTTTCCTTTTTCTGGTCACACCTGCAGGTACTTTCAGATCTTTGATAGTACATGAGTTCTGAGCAGGAACACAGTGTAACCATAAAATGTTCAAATACAAACCAGCATTGGCTTCTATATAAAACTGTGACGCCTGGAAAAGTGAACAAATAAATGAACCAAACAAAGGAAAGAGGAGTTTCAGCTTCAGTGCAGCTTCATGTTCGTCATTAGGTGATTCAGAGTGAAAAGGTTTTCACTGTCCTGTTTCTCTGCCTCTGCGTGCAAGACGTTTCTTTATTTTCCAGGCATGTAAAGATCTTCTGTTAACTCGTCTTCTCGTGTTTTGCACACTTCCTGTTTGACGCCTGAAAAAGTTTCTGAAGTTTATATTTTGCCTTAAAGTATGCAGTGGAAGTCATGCATATGTTTTAGATCACTGATGTTTGGTTTGTGTTTTATTTTGTTTGCTTGTCTAATAAAGAAAATAATTAAAACTAAAAGAAAGTTAAAGCACTTGTTTTTGTTTTTACACACAACTTTTAAGAAATGTTTCAGAAGTCATTTCGATTTGAAGAAGAGTTTGATGATAATCTGTATTTAGTATTTCTACAATCAGGCTATCTTTTGTTTTTTTAAGCTGTCTCTATAAAACAAGAGATGGGGACATATTCAGATATTGTTCTTGAAGGTTAAGTGTGAAAGATTTAGGGGGATTTAGTGTTGTGTGTTCTCCTAAATTTTACACACTGAACCTTTAAGTAAGAGCAGAAATGCCACACTGTAAAAATACTCTTTTGGATGTCAAAGTGTGCATTTGTAGCAAAATTATTGGATATAAAAAGTAAAATGCAAGAAACAGCTCCTGTAAGGATTATTCTGTGAGATATTCTATATCATTATATCTATATATTATATCATTGTATTACTGTAACCAAATCCTTATTTGTAAAGCAACTAAAGTCAGAAAAATGTTGTGCAGTAAAAAGTACAATATTTTGCTCTGAAATATTATGGAGTAGAAATATGAAGTAGCATAACTCAAAAACTCAAACTGGAAAAACTCAGTTCAGGTCCTTCAGATTTATAAAGTGTTTGAGTAAATGTTCTACACTGAACTGAAATTTAAACGCAACACGTTTGTTTTTGTTCTAAATTTTTACAGGTTTAAGTTACAGATCTAAGACTTTTTATGCTCTCAATAGTTTGTTGCTCTCAAATTCTGGTCACATATTTGTCCGTGTTAGTGAGCCAAGATAATCCCTCCACCTGACAGGTGTGGCATATTAAGATGCTGATTAAACAGCGTCATTACTGCACAGGTGTGTCTTGGGATGGGCACAATAAAAGGCCACTCGAAAATGTGCAGTTTGATCTTAAAGAAATACATTTTCTTTTGTCGCAGATACCCCGAAGAATCAGTCGAGCAGCTAGGGAGAGTGTGGACATTTGTCTGTGCACGGGGCCCTTTGACCTCCCAACATGAGTGATGTAGGTGGTGATGAATCCTGAGCACAAGTGGTCAGCTGCAGACACAAGATGACACACGTGTGAACGATGATGTGTCTCAGCCCTCCACTTGTGTTCAGATCACTGAAATACATGTTAATACCAGGCGTAAAGAGGCTCTCTGTGTCGCTGGGTGACATTATTTTAACTCAGTCCCACATACACCGTCCTGCTAACACAAATATGTGAATGTGAATTAATTGTGAATTAATCCACCACTGAAAATAGTCCCCAACAAATGCACCATTTTCTCCTTTTTAGAAAAGCTCCAGTGAGCAGCTGTTTTAGGAGATTATTCAGACTTCTTCAAATACGAAACCATGTATTTAAAGTCAATGTTTTCTCATTTATTCCTGTAAATGATTTGAAAAATGATGACTCTTCATCCTCTATCAGTTTTGAGTCGAGCACAAAGCTCAGTGTTGTTTAGATTTTCTAAAAGCGTCCTCTCTTCCTCTCTTGTCTCATCAGATCCATCAAATCAAACTTTTGTTCCCTTTTTCTCCTTTCTCCACAACGTCGTCTGCCAAAATAGCAGAGATGAATTTTTAATCAGCTGAAGCCACAAATCTGATCTGTCTCTCCTTCACTGAGACGGCAGTGTGTGTGTGTGTGTGTGTGTGTGTGTGGGTGGGATCTAGAATGAGTGCTTAATTTTAAACAAAGACAATAAGATTCATTGTAAAGTTAATTAGGTATAATGAGAACATAATGAGACATAATTCATGACCCCTGAGAGCCTCCTTAACTGAAGTGACACTAAGAAGTTTAAAGTCATCAGTGTTTCCTGCTCTGTGAACGTTTAATTATGAGAAGGCAGTCATTTATGAAGGTGTGTGAAGGAGCAATAAACACATTGTTACTGCGCTGTTCAAAATAAGTTGCCATGATACATCACCAGGTCATAAAACTTCTGGTTGGCTGGATCAATACGAGTGATCAGATATCACACACACACACACACACACACACACACACCTGGCATGGAAAACTTCCTGTTTGGAGAAAAACACCCAGACAGCCAGAACAAACATTTTTGGGGCTGTGAGCAGATTTGACCTCCTCCAGTCTTCCAGTCCTCCAGTTCTTCTTCTTCACTGGTATCTTTGTTCTTCTTCTCATTGTTTCCGATAACTCGTCCTGACGGAGCTTAAAACTTTGTTAGCTTCATCTTCATCCTCGTCTTCAGTGCTCTCAGATAGGAACATCCATTAAGTGAAACACAAGCTGAGCTACAGCACCATCTTAATGACGTTCATCCTGTTGAGACGGTTCCCTCTGTGACTTCAGGAAGTTTGTTGATGCTCAGTCAGCACAGCAGCTTTTATACAGTGTCCACAGTTTGGGGACTTTGGCTGATATTGAGTGACAGAGTTACAGGTGTGATTCATTATCCTGTAAACACAGCGGACGTTTCACAATGTCATCCTGTAAATGAACTCTGTGGCTCAACGCCACGTTTAAAGGGTTTCTGTACTGATGCATCTTTCAGACAAAACTGAAACCAGTCCATGTTTAATGTTTAATGGAAATTGGTCCAATGCGTCAAAGTCATCGTAGCGTATCAGCACCTGTTTTTGTCCTGAATAACACTGGGTTGTAATAAGATGAAAACTTTACCCATCACATGCACTCAAATCATGCAGCTTCCTCTCTTTTTCATTAAAAATAAGTAGTCTAAGCAAACTCACCATCAACACCATGTGACTGTCATCCCTCCCCGTGTCCGTCAACTTTAATGTTACCCTGACCAAAGATAAGCTCGCATGATAATGAAACCTTCACTGATTCTTTAGACCAGTTCAGACCAAAGATTCTTGAACATTCTCATTTTGAAGATTGAGCCTAGCTCCAGTAGGATCGATACCAAAACAAAAAGCAACAAAAAAAAAAAACATAGGATAAGGTTCTCTCTTCTACGTTGCACCTATTTGTATTTCACAACTTCAGACACAGCAGCATCTTCATAGTTTCACTTCCACCCGATGTCGGCAGTGAGAGGATGGCAAGCTCACCTCCCAGCGCACCTGTTTACTGCTGGGCACCGATGCAGACCCTCGGTTTTTCTATGACTGGAACCATGTGCGTCGAAATATGTCCAAGCCTGACTAGTTTAATCCGACACATAACAGCAGTGATGGATTAATGAAAGAGAAAAAAACAAACACGAGAAAGAACTTGGAGCTACAACTGAAAGAAAGGGAGGAGGAGGAAAACACCTCAGACATCCAGACCTCTGACACAGAGACAGAGTTCACTGGCAGAGTCGGTTCAGAGAGACTCAGGCAAAGAATATCCAGTGAAATCAATATTTTAGGTAAATCAGATCTTAAGCACTGGCTAATGTTACATGTTTAAACTGTAACTGGTGATCACAAACTGTTACTTCGGCAGATTAATTATTCACCACACAAAACATGACACACTGCTTTCTCCTACATGGAAAAATTGCCAATTTAATAATAAAAAGTATTGCATCGTATCGTAGCATATCATATTGTAACGTATCATATCGTATCATAACCCATCGTATTGTATCGTAAGGTATTGTAGCGTATCATATTGTAACGTATCATATCGTAACGTATCGTATCATATCTAGGGCTGCCACTAACTATTATTTTCATTGATTATTTCTTCAATTAGTCGACTAATCATTTCATCGAAAAATGTGTTAAAATGTTGAAAAATGTCGGCCTGTCTCTCCCAAACCCCAAAATTATGTCATCTAATGTCTTGTTTCATACTCACGCCAAAGGGTTTTAGTTCACCGTCACGGGAGAGTGTGTAAAGCTGCCAATATCTGAACGTAAGAAGCTGCAGTATGAGTATTTAGGGTACTTTTATAGTAATTTTCTATGAAAAATGTCTCAAACCGATTAGTCGACTACTAAAATAGTTACCGATTATTTTAGTAGTCGATTAGTCATCGATTAGACGACTAATCGTGGCAGCCCTAATCGTATCGTAACGTACCGTAAAGTACCCTATCGTATCGTAACACATTGTATCGTATCAGCGATTCTGGCTCTCTATTACTTGTTATCGGATCAAAACCACATTTTGTTGGCCCACCCCTAGATTCATCATCTAATTGGCTTATTGACGAGCCCTCTGTTTCCGTCCTCACGGTGTGTTGGTGTCAGATGGTAGGTTGCTGCTGCTGCTCGCTGTATGTGCTTATCCCCCCTCCAGAGAGTTGTTGACTAGAGATGATACACTGTCTTATCTAGTTGCATTGGTGGGAACCGGCAGGTTTTTAGAACGTTGCAGAACGGTACATTGCAAGTAGTTGCTTATTTCAACTCGTCTCGTCACGACGGGCTTTAGCTCACAAATAGGTCGAGTAGATGATATACACTTACAGTCTTCAACAAATAAACATTACCTTAAAAATGGAAAACACTTTTTACTTCATGACTGAAAAGTCGTTGGCGAAACTGATCAGATGGTGCTGATTTTTGGCTGCAGACTCAGTCGTAGGATGTTCCTCCTGTGGACTATCTGGTAAGTTCTTAACTTGAATTACAAGACTAAAGGTCTGTGTTTCAACCGTCCCCCTGATACTTTCATCCCTGCTCTCCCCTTAGTAGGAAAATATTTTTAATTTTTTTCTGGGGTAGAGACACCCCAACCTTCTGGCAGATTTTGGTCCCCCCAGTGTTGACTCTATGGCTGCTGTATTAAAGCTCTGAAAGTCATATACAGAACCTTTAACATCAGCATGTTAGCACTGACACTGTGAGCACTTTGCTGTTTAGCTGATGTTAGCATTTAGCATGAGGTCAGTGCAGCAGTGTTTTTCCATCATACTCTTGTTCCTCTTTAAATATCTTGTCTTTCTACGTCTTCCGCAAAAGAACTTCTCACAGTTATTGTGATATTTTTTATTTTATATTTTCATTCTTATCACATTGCGTGCATGCTATTTCAGTTCCTGTTCAGTTCAGTTTATCATCATTCTTACCGTACCGCAGGCCTTTCCAGTGATTCTTCGC